GCCGAGAAGCAGCATGTCGGGATGAACCAACCGTCAGGAATTTCTGATTCAGAGATTTGGCACTTTCTCCTGTGGAGGAATCCTGCTGTGTGTGTGCACATATGTGTGTGTTTGCAGTAATAGTGCTGTGTTCTGTGATATTCAGACTGACACTGCTGACAGAAGAGTCCTGTAGCCTGGTGTTACCCTGTTCTCATTTCCATAAAAAGCCAGTTTTGCCTGGCACATACCTTCAGCCGACTGAGGCTCTGAGGAAAAGCAAATTAAGTTCAGTGATGGTAGATGATGGATCTGCTGGCACACAGTTGTCCCTCGCATACAATACAAATTTTGTTCCTTAAGATTGCATAAACCTCCCGCATGCCCACCCAGCTGACTAAGTACACCTAGCTAAAACTAATGCTGTCAATATTATTCAAATCATTTTCATACTCATCAAACAATTCAATGAGCCGTCGTGCCCTGTGGACGGGGACACTGTCACTAGGGGAGAAACCTCTCATTTATTCAGGTTTTTCCTTCAATTTGTCACCCACCTGTAATTGCTCTGAGAGAAAATGCGGTTGGCGGGGCAGGGGGGTCCTTCTGGTTTTTTTCACCTTTATTTTTATTGTGTGAAAATAACCCTAACCCTTCCCTAATATACAGTATCTAGAATAGGAATTATTCTAGATACTGTATATTCTGATGGTTTAGGCATTGATCTGGCAAACGTAAAGTCACAGTGCCGCTCTTTTTTTCTGCCATTGCTTCCCCATTGTGGCAGAAAGAGAATCTGAGCAGCATAATTTATATAGTTTGCTTTGCTATTCAACCGGTTAGAGATTTTGAGTCACTATTTTTGGCTTGTCTGTATATTTTGTGAATGACTGTAGTAATTCTTGGCACAAAAAAGATAGTGATATACTGCATGAGGATGTTAGATAGCAGTATACACAGGAGGTGGGATGCTCGCACTATCAGCACAGGTGCTATTGGCATAGATGAACTTAATGCATTTGATGAATTACTGAAACCAGACCATTCGACTCTGATGAAAAGGAATAGTCAGTGCAGCCCGCCAAATGCTTCCTCAACGTGAAATGGCTGGCAGCCATGGGAGAACAGCACTGAGTGGCCCATAAAATGCCAGCCAAACACGTAATATCATCAGAGGAGGTCTAAGAACAAATAAAAACATCCTGTTCTGGACAGATGTATTCAGGCATCAGCTACATCTAGATTTAAAGGATGTGTTTCTGTTGTTTAGGGATTCAGGTCATCTAACCTGTTGAGCTAACAGTATTATTTAGACACAATTGCTGTTATTTCCTTAATATAAGTATTGGAGGTTTTACTGATACACTCGATGTTATGTTTGAAACAAATATGCGTGACTGTGTGAAAATTAATTATTAACCAGCAGCCATGGTGCTGATTCTTCACTGGTTACATACCACTTACTACATCCTGTGTTAGGACAAAGGACTTGGCTCTTGTTTGCTGTACTCAGAGATAACGCACACCGGTGTGCAAACTTTAACCGCTGTTGTTTTCTTGCAGAACAAAAGCTACTGAAAATAAAAACATGCAACGCGAGCACGACTTTATAGAATCTCAGATACGCACTTGCTGTAGGATGGAAGTCTGTGGAAGAAATCAAAATATGAACTTTTCTGAAAAAAAATAGGAAGATAGGGTTTTTTTTTTCTTGGTTCTTTAATAACACGCTCATTTAGAGCTCCTGTTTTCTGATACTGAATCCATTATACCTCTTTAATTCAACTGTGGTCGCGATATGTTTGGTGGTAAAACAGCAGATTTACAGCGGTCTTAATCCAGACACAGCTATGTGTCTTGTACAACTGCAACCTCTTATGTTGATCTAAGATTTTTAAAGATTTAGTAATTTATGAAATGTATACTGTCAAAAAATCTATATATATGATTAAAATTAAAATAGGTGAATATGTAAAGTCAGTTTATACTGCAACTCAAATAACAAAAACCTAACATGGCTGCTGATTCTGATTTATGTGCTGCTCATAACCACATTTTGATGAAACGCATTTGTGTGTTAAGAACAACACCATCCTCTATCAGGCACTTTATGTCAAGCTGCAGAAATATTGCATCTCTTGCATTCAACTCTTTATTGGATGTCCTTGGACACTTTTTGGATGGAGTACAAAAGGACAACGTCGTGCTTGCTTCCTCCTGCGCAATGTGCAGTGACAGTAGCCCCTCCCACATATTGTGAGGAGTATATTTCAGGCTGCTCGCCTTCTCAGCGTTTCCAGCCTCCTCCGCCTCGCACACTTGTCGGCCAAACGCCCACACCTCCCACAGCCAACACAAACTCAGCACCTCGTCTCCATGGATATGAAGGCTGTCAAAAATAAAACCACTTAACCCTGTCTTTGCTATGCGGTGGAGCAGCAGAGAGGAGAGCACACTGTCCTTCTCAAGCTGCTCTCCAGTGAGTCGTGATTAAGTCCAAAGATAAAAGGAAAAGCATAATTAGCACTAAGCTTGATGATAAGGAGCTTCTTATTTAGATAAGCATATTTTAATGCAAATATGGAAGCCAAGTTTTGATCCCTTTGCAGCTGAAGACAGAAAACCTTATAGTAGCATTGACTGTGTTGTGGGGTGTAGTGTGCTTTGAGACGGTGGAGAGGGAGGAGCAGCAGAAGTCAAAGAGCAGCAGGTGAGCAGAGGTCACTCCACAGTTGTCTCCTCGAGGAAATGCATCACCATGACAACAGTGCCAAGGAAGTGGCGTCAGTGCTCAGGGGAGCTCCAGGTTTCCTCACATTTTCTCTGAGGTTTCTGTAATATAGTAGATCTGGATGCACCGCGGATGTTTCCTGAGGGAGCGAGAACATCTACAAAAGTTCTGTCAGAATGAACTCAAGATCCTTCTGTTTAGGCAAGAATATGTGAATAATAACAAATAAACAAATTATTCATCTTTGGCCTTGTCTTTTCTTTCCCCTACTCTTTCTAAGAACAAACTTGGAGGCACTGCAGAAGAAACTAGAGGAGCTTGAGTTGGATGAGCAGCAGCGGAAACGCCTGGAGGCCTTTCTGACACAGAAGCAGAAGGTGGGCGAGCTGAAGGACGATGACTTTGAGAAGATCTGTGAGCTGGGTGCAGGCAACGGAGGTGTCGTCTTCAAGGTCTCTCACCGACCCTCTGGTCTGATTATGGCCAGGAAGGTAAGCTGTGGCCCTAATGGTTGGTAACAAGTAGCCCTTTAGTAAAGACACTGAAAAAAGCTATTTTTGCTTTCAGAAAGCCACAAAGCCTAAACTGGATCTAACAGAGATGTGTAGCTTGGATTTACCTAATGATGTATGGAGTTTTTCCCCCAATATTCCAGACAGACAGGCATTGAATTTTACAGACTTCATCAGTGGTTTCAGAATGTGTGGAGGGTAATTTGTCCCATTCCCTTGTAAGTATTTTGCACACAGTGTGAAATGTTGGCTACTGGGACAAGAAGATTAGGGCCACTGTAAAAAACAAAACAAAAATTAACCACAGAATTTAGACTTTAGAATTCAGGCTTTTAAAAAAAGAATTCTGAGGAAAATAGATATGTCCAGAGAAACATTTTCCCCCATTTTTTAATCACAGCATGCATTTTTTGCATCTAATGCTCTTCTGTGTGTGAGTGTGTGTGTGTGTGTGTGTGTGCTCAGATGTTCCACAGCAAGATTGTTTTACCCAGTATTTGTGATCTGTGTGATCTGACAACAATAAAAGCTGATTTCTCCCGTGTTCCAGCTGATCCACCTAGAGATCAAACCTGCCATCAGGAACCAGATCATTAGGGAGCTGCAGGTGCTACATGAGTGTAACTCCCCCTACATTGTGGGTTTCTATGGAGCTTTCTACAGTGATGGTGAAATCAGCATCTGCATGGAGCATATGGTACAGCTCTTTAATATGTCATGGCTGCCAGTGCTGTTACACAACAATCACTTTGAATGTTTTGGATTTCACAGATTTTATTTTGAATTTCAAAGAGTTTATTATCTCCCTTCCCCGCTGGCTGTAGGATGGTGGATCCCTGGACCAGTCGCTGAAGAAAGCAGGCAAGATCCCAGAGCAGATCCTTGGCAAAGTCAGCATCGCTGTAGGTAGCTCCAACACCTCTCACTAGTTTTGTGCTCCGAAAGACACAGCTATTTTTGTGACACAGTTAGATATAAAACTTGGCTTACAACTAAAGTATATGTATGAGTAGATTATTTGTTTTGCACTACCAAGTGATCTATATCGTTACTATGCTAAGATGCAGTGTTTGTCTTCCAGGTCATTAAAGGGCTCTCCTACCTGAGGGAGAAACACAAGATCATGCACAGAGGTCAGTCACTGTTTAATTTACTGAACTATGTCACAAATAAAAGGTAGGTAGGTATGCTATATTTAAAATAAGTTCACAATTTTGACAAGTCTGTCATAAAACCATATGTACATTGAAAGAGGTTTTGATTGCTGTAATCATTCCTCTTGTTCATATGGGCTACACTGACCATAAAAACAATGGACAGGCCAAGAGTGCCCAGAAGTGAAACCGCCAAAACTCAATCGCCCCCTGGTGCCTGGTTGCAGTATAGGTCTTAAATCCCTCCTCCTCCACGTTAGTGGATGGAACATGAGCCACTGTAAAAACTCTTAAGTAAAAATCAAATAAATGTTTCCCAGAGGTCACTACTGTGGTGTTTGGTAGGCATTATCATGCTGATGTGTGTACTGGAGGTACACACATCTGGTAAGTTAGTCTTTAATGAGTCAGTGATTGGCTATAAAAAGCTCTTCCACTTTGAGTATACATAACATACTTGTGTGTGCAATGCATGCTGTATATTTAGTTTATTGGAAGCTAAAATGAGGGTTTAACAGGTAAAGTGGATAACTTACTCTAAGTAACTTGAGGCAAAGTATTGGTCTTCACCTTGGACTATTTTTATTTTGCTTATTGGGATGCATCTAGATTTTTGACATATTAAATAAACAACTATGTGACAAGCAGCACAACATGCACAGAGCCTTTGCAGCAGATTGTTCTGTGCAACTTACTGTTTCCTGTTGAACACTTTGCCACCATGTTCTCCTAAATATTGCATGTCCCTCTTTCAGATGTAAAGCCATCTAACATCCTAGTGAATTCCCGCGGTGAGATCAAGCTGTGTGACTTTGGAGTTAGCGGACAGCTCATAGACTCCATGGCCAACTCATTTGTGGGCACACGCTCTTACATGTCTGTGAGTTACATGGACACACTCTTCTTTTCTTGCAGACCATACATATTTGGAGAGTTGCTTGTTTGCTGTAATTGAAAAAATTAACAGTACAATAAAGTGCAAGGCTCAGCTTTAAGAGGAAAAGAGATAACAATGCAAGTGAAGAAGATAATGAGGCTAAACTGGTTACTCTAACTTGGACCAGACCTTGATGACTTGTTTCTGAACACTGAAGATGTTGATGGTGACAGCTGTGAGGAAGCTGCAGCCAAAGCAAGAATAAATTATCTTCTTGCATTTATTCTAATTTTAATCTCTGTTACCTATTTTACTAACAGTTATGAGTTGGAGCCTGTGTGAAACCTAAGAACATCTGTCTCATTTCTATGTCACTGTACTGGAAAACATTTGTCAACCATTTTACAAATCAGTAATGATATGTGTTTGTGTGTTGTACAGCCTGAGCGTTTACAGGGCACCCATTACTCCGTTCAGTCAGATATCTGGAGTATGGGTCTGTCCCTGGTTGAAATGGCCATTGGACGCTTCCCCATCCCACCTCCTGATGCTAAGGAACTGGAACAGATTTTTGGCTTCCCAGTGGAAGGGGAAGCAGCCTCCAGCGAATCCTCGCCAAAGCCACGTCCTCCTGGGCGACCAGGCAGCTGTAAGTCATACAGTGGTTCACTTTGATTCCTCATGACAACTTTTTTTTTTTTTTAATGACAGTAGCCTTAACTGAAATAAGTTCAAATTATGTTTAAATTGCTTGCTACAAAAATCAGAGTAGCAGCAATGGCATGTAGGGACATCTGTTAGTAACCTCAAGCAATGACTGGTGCAAAGGACTGAATGTCTTTGTCCCATTTAGCCTACGGACCTGATAGCAGACCACCTATGGCTATATTTGAGCTTCTTGATTACATAGTCAACGAGGTATGTGTGCTCACTACTTTACCACATTGACATAATGGATGTACCTGTATAGTTGTGTACATAGTGACAATCCTTTTGCTTGCAATTTGATCATGTCCTGTTCAAGTTGTTGTTGATCGGACTTCTAATTTTCAGCCTCCACCGAAGCTTCCTGGGATATTCAGCTCTGAATTCCAAGACTTTGTGAATAAATGGTATGTGGGAGAAATATTTACAGGCATGATGCACTTGTAGCATTAAACCTGTGCCGCCTAGTGGCATCAAAATCCACTGCACATTCTAAAGTGTTGTGTCTGCTGCAGTTTGATTAAGAATCCGGCAGAGAGGGCAGACTTGAAACAGTTGATGGTGAGTGTGTATATTTAACAGCAATTCTTATTTCCTGCCTTTTGCTTATTTTTATTCATCTTACATGTTTTTCCTTCAGGTGCACCCTTTCATTAAACAGTCTGAGGCTGAGCAGGTGGACTTTGCTGGCTGGTTGTGCAGCACCATTGGACTCAATCAGCCTGTGACCCCCACCCATGGTTCAGCAATGTGAGATCTCCGTCAACAAATTCCATACCCTGAGGGGCTCTAATAGCTGGATTTGTATTATGGGCAAATTGTATCTGTTTATACAGCGTACTCAAAGGGTAAACTTCTGCAATCAAGAGTTGAATATTTAGTGTACAAACCAAGTGAAGCCAAGTGAGGTTAATTATGTATTGAACAATTTTTAGGGGGCTGTAATGCAGGCCTGTGTGAAAAAGCCATCTTTTTCTAATGATCAAATGATTTAACTATGACAAATGCTGCTCAACCCGTGTGCTTGATATTCAAATCTTTATCTTGTGTGAAATAAATAGTCTTGTGAATTTCAATGACATATCTGACTCATATCTTGAAAGTGATTTATTGATCACTGAACTCCAGTCTGTACAGATTTATGCCTGGGGTTTGACAGGTGCTCCCTTCTTTCCAAGCTTCTTCTTCTTCTTAGGTTTCAGCATCTTGGCCTTGATCTATGGAGAGAACAAAATTTTATGATTACCATTCCCAATTATGTCTACACTTTTTTGCTTCCAAGCTTAAATCATTTCACTCCTTACAGTAGGGTCATGCTTGAGGATGGCATGACGTCTTGCCGTCTTGGCATAGGGGTTCAGTTTGAGCATTATCCTCAAGTTCTTCAGAGGATTCTTCTTCAGTACTCTGCGGTTGATCTTCTTGCTGTAATGACAATACAACTCACTCTTAATGTGCACTGCTAAACTGTCATGTTTGTAATAAACATGCATCACTCAGGACTTCCATAATAATCAGGCTTCAGAAACACGGACCTGAAGTGGAATATCATCATAGCCAAAAAAAAAGAGAGAAAAAACCTCATGGTGCTTACTTAGGTGCACGAAGGGCTTTCTGGATCTCCTCACTCTTCAGAATCCTGCTCAGGTCTGTGTTGGTCATCTTGTGCATTGGCAGGCTGATTTGGGAAGCATTAAGAATTAGTTCATGTATGGAAACGCTATATAAAACAGCAACCTAACCAGCCTTGTGATGCTCATACTCAGAACTTCTGTAAATATCACATTGTTTCAACAACACGGACCATGAAGTGGAAGCTCATCACTGTGTAATATGATCAACACCAGTTTTTACTTGTGCTACAGTATGCAGGCTCCTTAAATACTCACTTGTAGTCTACCTTCAGGGAGGCAGGTTTACGCCAGGTGCCATACAGCTCATCCAGCTTGCGGAAAGCACTCTCAGTCCAGATGCAGAAGCGCCCAACATGACCACCAGGGGCGAGCCTCAGGAGATTCAATTTGTTCACGTTCTGCAGAGTGATGCCTGCATAATAATTAATTAAAGACAAAGGCGGAATATTATCAGGTTGCTTCTAAAAAAAAAAAAGATTCCTCATTCAAGACTATGATAACCACTTATGTAACAAGATTCCACAAACTGATATACATACATGCTGGATTAAATATACATTGTACAGATCTTTCACAGCATAAATTCAGAGCTATGCAACAGAAGTGACAGCTTATTTACCCAACTGTTATGAATTCTAAATTTCAACAAGCAACTCACCTGGGATATTCCTGAAGGCTTTGGTGACACCAGCATCTTGGTTGTAGATGATGCATGGCCCTCTGCGTTGGATCCGTCTGCGGTTCCTCATCTTACCCTTACCAGCACGCATGCGCTGAGAGGCGTAGACCTGAGAACAGAAGATTTATGACATTAATCCAGTATTAATCCAGTAAACCACAAAAAGGGAAGAAAACAAAACACTTAGGAACAGAGGAACTGCTTTTAATTAATCCTAATGGCAACAATAACAGTGTCAGGGTTTTATGCAACATTTAATCCACTTGAATCACATAACATGTCAGGCATCTTTTCCAGGTGCTTGCTTTTAGTCTTTTCTTCAGGTAAAAAACAAACTCAAGAGACTGACCCCAAAATTGCCAGGACTGTGTATAAAGAGCCGATTCCTATGAATACCAAATATTCATCAAGCTGAAATCAGCACTTTAACTTCATAATAGTGTTTCAATTTCAAAAAAATGTTCAAGTGCACAGTCAAGTCAAAACAAAACAGACCAGGCAGTAGAAAACTCAAAATCTAAATTCACAGACAAAATAAGAAAAACCTCAACTTGGCTCAACGATGTGTGAAATCCACAGTGTGCCCTTTTGTGGGTT